TTACAGCACGGCTGTTGCAGGCACTGTTTATGTGCTAATGGCTGGAAAAGGCCTGACGAGCTCAGCCAAAAACCCACTCAGGCTCCAAAATCAAATCAGCACTGGAACCTTTTTTTTTTTTTCTCCTTTAAATCTCTTAGCATTTATGTTCCCCAGCAGCTGGCAAAGGGCCCAAGTGCTCTGATCCTTGCCTCAGACCAAGGTCCCCAAGCTACACACATGCTCATCAATGACAAAGTGCCCTTGGAGCCAATGGGGATCCCACTACATAGTTCTAAGCAGGAGCCCATTTCAGATGAAATTTTTCCATTTCCTTTATTTTGTCCACACAGAGTCCATTAAAAACAAACAACTTTAAGGTAAAAAGCTGAGGAAGGTCAAATTAATCACTACCAGTAGTTATCATAGAATGGCTTGGGTTAGAAGGGACCTCAAATATCATCTAGTTCCAGCCCCCTGCTATGGGGAGGTAGTTCAGGTTGCCCATAGCCTCGCCCAGCCCAGCCTTGAACAACTGCAGGGATGGAGCATCCACAGCCTCACCATTGTCTCTGTGAAAAACTTCCCCGACATCTATTCTAAATCCCCTCTCCTTTAAAGCCACTGTCTACCCATGCTAAAAGTTGATTTCCCTCCTGTTTATGAGCTCCCTTTAAATACTGAAAGGCCATTCTCAGGTCTCCCCAGAGCCTTTTCTTCTCCAGACCGAATAAGCCCAGCTCCCTCAGCCTGTCTTTGTAGGAGAGGTGCTCCAGCCCTCTGGTCAACCTCGTGGTCCTTCCCTCCCCTTCCCTGGATAAAGTCCAACAGCAGTAGCCACATGCTCCAAATGAACTCCACGCTCAGAAACTGTCCTGAGTGAAATCACATCCTTGAGTTCTGCAAGTCGATAGCAAATCAGAAAGGCACAGCTACTGGAGCAAAACAAATGCACTTATGACTGCTGTAGTAGCCCTCACTGGCAGTGCTTACTCTGACCGTGGAGCAACAGTGCCTCCCAATGGCAAGAGGTATAATTCCTTCAAGTTTGAGTAAATATTTGGGAATATTTTGTTTTGCTTATTTACGTATAGACACAACATCAAGAGATCTCTCTACCAAGAAAGCTTTAACACAGAACTACTGACCAGAAAAAGCTTTGCTAGTGAACCAGTGGCTAGCAATGACCTGGCCTAGGTATCCCCCACCAGGAATCCAGTCCTCCATTTGTAAGAAAAAACCTCAGTGACAGCAAGACCTGAAACGTGGTTAACACTTAAACGCATGGGTACTACTTTTCTTACCTGATGGTAAAAACGATTCACCAAGTAAAATTAACACTTTTCCTCTTTTCTGCTATCCTGAAACAGGTCCCGATTGTTTCAGTTCCAAGAACCTTGCACTGCAAGCCCAGAAAAAGATCCTGAGTAAAATGGCAACCAAAACCATGGCTAACATGCTCATCGATGATACAAGCAGTGAAATCTTTGATGAGCTGTACAAGGTAACAAAGGAACACACCAGAAACAAAAAGGAAGCCCATAAAATTATGAAAGACTTGATTAAAGTGGCAATAAAAATTGGGATCCTCTATCGAAATAATCAGTTCAACCACGAAGAGATGGAAATCGTAGACAAGTTCAGGAAGAAGCTGAACCAAACTGCCATGACAATTGTCAGTTTCTACGAGGTAGAATACACTTTTGACAGAAATGTTCTTGCAGAACTTCTGAATGAGTGTAAAGACCTTGTGCATGAACTAGTAGATCGGCACCTGACACCGAAATCCCATGGGCGCATCAACCACGTCTTCAATCACTTTGCAGATGTGGAATTTCTAACTGCCCTGTACAGTCTTGATGGGGATTGTCGGCCATACCTCAAAAAGATCTGTGATGGCATCAACAAACTACTTGACGAGAAGATCCTTTGAAACTGTGCTCAGAAGCAAGAAACCAGCCAAAAAACTTGACTAGAACTGGCCACCCTTCATGAGCCATGAGAGCATCCTTCCTGCTCTTCTTACTGCAGTCTCCAGCAGGAGCCAGAAAGTGCTCACTTGGCACACGATGAAGGGAAAAACCTAAGCCAGAAAGCTACCAGTTTTAATGTTTTGTTCACAGATAACTGAGTCTTTTCCAAGGCGTGGCATGACAAAAAACTGCTGATATATATTGTTCAGAAATAGATTGCTGTACATCATGATCTTACTAGCTTTGTGGTGAAGGCTGAACACGTGAAAAGAAAGTAAGCTCAAACGCATGGCTGTGTTAAAATAGGTGATGGCAAAAGAGCAATGCATGGAATTTACCCAGGCTGCCCTTGGTGTGTACGTTTTTACTTTTCCAACAGCAAGTGAAAAGGCTTAGACAGAAGGTAAGGCTGTGATGCATTAAGGTCTTTCCTTTTAAAATGATCAGGAATCAGTGTGAGAATGCATCTCTGAATTCACACGGTATGTAAGTCTATTTAGGGATAATAAATAATACAGACAATTAAACCAGAATAAAATTTGAAGAGCTGCTCTATGAAACAATATTTCCATTAGAAATTTTTGGCTTGTACTCACTCAAGAAGTTTCATTTGAATTTTGAAGAACAGCTCAGCGATTGAAGCTCAAAGGCAATCAAGAAAAAACATGAAGTAGTTCCTTAGTTCTCCCAGTCTCAGGTGCTGTGTATTTGATAACATTGGATGAGTTTAGGCTGGAGATTATGCTGCTCTTTGCACTCATACTGTTCTGTCTGTCAGAGCAAAATATTCTGTGTGAACATTTTGCAATTTTGAAGAGGAACATAAGTAACCACTTGCTGTACAAAGCAACATTAACATCTCATATCCTCAACAGATAACATTCAGCCTCGGTAAAGCTCTCATTTTAATGTGTCCGTAGTATTAATTTGTGCCAACAGTGACAAAAAAGAACCCCATCTGCTTTGCTCACAGTGCCATCTGAGCGCAATATATCCACAGCCCTTTGAAGAGAACACTACCAACTCTGGTGAGCTTCGTAAACAACCCACTGGTTCAGAGTGTTCTGCTTTTTTTGTTTATAAGCAAAACACACTGATGTCCTGAAACAAAAAATGTTTTGCAAAGAAATACTAGTTTCTGTCAAGTTTTACTATCATTAAGGAAGAGAACCAGAGCAGATAAGCCAGCTTGCTGCTTGCAGAATCATACAGCTGGGTTGATGCTGGCTGACCCTACATAAAGGAAGCATGTGCAGAAATCTCTCCTTGCCTCCTGCTTCTTATCTCTCAGACTCACCTCAGTCTGCCAAGACATTCAGTGTCACAGGGTTCTCCTTTCTCATGACACAGCAGACAATCCCATATATTTGAAAGCCATCCCTCTCTAAGGAGAACTTCCAAGCACTGTCACCTATTACTTCAAGACAACAACAAAATTGTTTTCCCATTTAAAATCTTAAATACAGAGGTAAATTCTGTTCTTATTCTTCTGCCTTCTCTCACCCTGAGAATAACTACTGTACTTCCCTACATACAGCTGAGAATACACATACCTAGACTATGTATTCTCTGCAGTTGTGCTAGAAGCATCCATTCCCAAAAGAATGCATTTTGAAGCAAGTGTAAGTGGCAGCACAAAACATTATTAGAGCAGTTTGATAACGATGTAATTCTCCATCATGTTTTCTTCAACCATAAGGAGTATATTCAGTAGCAGTGAATACAGACCATTCCTTTACAGCTCAGCATGGTAATGAGATAAGAACTTTTGGGACTGGAAGTCTACTAAGATTTGCCTTACAAGCTTGCAAGTTTCAACATTTGCAGAGCCATATTTACACACACCATTAGCTGCTTTCTTTCTCAGAGCACATACCTGTCAACCAATGCTTTTGAACCATAGTTATTATATCCAGCACACCTGTTCCAGTGCACAGGTCACATCTGCGTGTTTGTTTCTCCTGTAGCAAATATGTAAGTTCGGTTGGTTGTTTGGATTTTTTTTTTTAAGCCAGAGCAAAAGATTATTCAACACTGAAGATGTCCAAAACAAAAGGGATATCCTGTATACGTGACTTCATTTTTGTGTGTTGCAAGTGCCAATATTCCAGATTCTGATATTTTAGACGAGCCAGCTGAACACCTGTCATCTTATTTATAAATCAGAGTAGCCTTAAGGAAAGAAGATGTTTTTGAGTATTTATCATACTTGCATATCCAGTATATTCATTGTTTACTTTTGTACTAGTAGCTTGGTATGTAACAACATTGCTAAATACTGGCAATGGTCATCTTAAGTATATGATGTATTATCATATTCGTGGATTAAAAATGTGTGATTACTGCCCTTTTCCTTTCATTTGATTTCTTTGTTCTACTACCCAAAGTAAATTGAAATTAAACAGTAAGAGGAAGGAATTGGTTTAATCTTGTCATCTTCGATGTTTGCAACTCTTTGAAGACCATATTTTATGAATGTAGGAGGAAGGTACACGGACTTTGGTGTTTAAAAGAAAACTGGAAAGCAACAACAAAGGAAATCCCTGTTTTTCATACTTGTACATCGTTAGCACTTGAGCTAACAATGACACTGCTCCATCCACTATGCAGTATGGTTCAGAGGCTTTCAGCCTAAGAATCTCCCTGCAAACCACATGGAGGTCCTGCCTTCAGGGCCCAGCCTCTCTTTAGGCAGAGCCCGAATGGTGCCAATAAGATACCTCTGTGCAAGGGCCAGAGCAGCTGTAACATGCCTAAGACCTAGCTCTTCAGCAAGTATGTCTTGCAACTATTTCATTATTTGATTTAGTTCCTATTTAGCTACGTGTGATTTAAGTCAGAAGACATCCCTGGTACAATTCAAATCCCAACCCTGATGTAGATGCAAGAACTTACCTGAATTCTTTAACAACAGCAAGCATGTATTCTTCTTTCCTTATTACCCCCCCCAAAAAAATACATTGTCAGCAGTTCAGGACTTGCAAGCTAACTGGCACAATTAGAAAAACGTATGGAAATCTCAATAAATGGTACTTTAAGTCACACTTCCAGTAAAACACTGCTCTTAAGTTAATTTTATTAGTCATACCATGGCAGGACTTGATATTATCTGCTTCATCACTGCCAACTTTATAACATAGACATTAATTCTGAAGAAATCCTGAAGAGTAACTGTATTTGGCATCCTGATGAAGTTGCAGATGTACCACAGAAGAGTACACTGCATTGAACATGTAATCTTATTTGTGTTGAAGAAACATTCTCATAGAAAGGCATATAAATGACTGAACCTGAAAAGACCAAAAGGTAAAACAATTTCCTCTTACCACAGCAACAAAACTGCAAAAGCAAGTCTTACCTGCATGACTTAAGCAGGCCTACTTCTATTTTTACCTGCTATGATACACACCTTAGATCCAGAAAAAGATATCTTCTTATCCACACTGATAATATAGCCTGGGGGTTGACTGTGGGACAGACAGCACCCACTAGGAGATTTCTATCTTCCCAATATGTAAAAAACATCAGGCAATATCATTTCCGAGCTACTTGCAAATACAGAAGGCCCTGAAGACAGTGCTATTCATTACACCAATTTATCCTAGTTCCTCACAGGCTGAGGGGCTGGGAATACCTAACAAAGTACTTTTACCAATTTTGACTCTTTTATTAAAAATACCTGAAAATATTTTGGGAACAGGAGAAGCTGATAAAAACAGGAAAAATAGTGATCCCATATAACTTCTCTGTCGACTCCTGAACTCTAAGATGCCTGCAGCACGCCACAGTGAAAAAGTGAAGCCACCTGGTACCAAAATGCTGTTAATCCACCTGTTCAGAAAGTCAATACACTCAGAGCAGCCACCAGTTGTCCCTTGAAAGTAAAATCCTTCATGCTAATTAGATCATGTGCTCAGTTCCTTCTAGCCTATTTCTACACATCTTATTTCACTTTCCCAGAAATGATATTAATCCTTCAAGACCCATTAAGTCACAAAGAAAGGAATCCAAGTCACACACATTCCCTAAGTAAAAAAAATCCCTGCATTTTTCACACCTACCATCACTAATAATTCCAGAACAGAAATGGACTGCACCACTGCTTTGCCAAGTCATGAACCGGGGGTGAAGGTTAGGGCCAGAAAATACCACTTAAACAATGAACAAGGCTCCACACTGCTGCATTCTGGTGGTATTTGCAGGGCACCAAACTGATTACTACTTAAACTACAAGAAACATAAAGACTGTGAAAAATTAAGAAAATTATTAGCTGGACATTCTAGAAATAAAGACTAATAGGTACATATTCTGCAAAACCCTTTATGTGATATAAGCATAAATCTCTTAGAACTGCATATTTATAGTTTACCATACGTTATCATACAGTGGAAAAGGTCAGAGTATTTACATGAGTTATAGAAGGCATTGCTTTTTCTCTTTTTTAAACACTAGACCAAACAACTGAAATGGTTTAAATGCATAGGCCAAAAACATACTTCCATTACACTTCACATAATTACAAAAGTCCAACTGCATAACAGAAGTCAGATCTACCAGCAGAAAAATCACTTGCTGGAGATTATCCCACTATCAATCCATTTTCATCTACATAAACTTTCTTGAAGTAACAAGTAAACAGTAAAGTATGCAGAACATTAAATATTTTTACAGGTTCAGTGCACTTAGATTTCTCAACAAGGTACTGAAACAGCAATAGAAAAGAAAAAGAGCTTTGCTTGTGATAATACAAGCAGCATGACTTAAAGAAAAAAAGGAACTATCAGCACGTTAACATTGTTATGGTGATTTCACAAACATTTACCAAATAACAGCAAACAGTGCTTTATTCTCCTTTACAACCAGTACTTACTGGGTAAGAGTCAATAAAGATAGAAGTTAAAACTTCCTTGTTAATATTCAATTTCATATTAACATTCATGAAAGAGGGAATCCTACCATAGACACCATTTACATTACGTCTGAACCATCTGGACAATTTTCATGTTCTTAAATAAAACCACAGGAAGATATATAATTTTTGAAGTATTAAAGATTTCATATATTGTCTAAATTGAGAATGCTGGGTTTTCAAGGCTGAAGTTATTATTGGAAGAAGAAGAGACAATTCAAATCGTAAACACTGGACCAACTCAGAGCTCATATGCCTTACTGCAGCTCCTGTACAGCCACGTCTGTCATATTCAAGCTATTCATAATTAGAAAATGTAAATGAAGTTTTCATCACATGAATTTTCTTGGACAGAGAATCTAGCCAGATTAAATATAAGGTGTCTGAAAGGCACCTCCATGATCTCAGACTTGATCCACATGAAACATCTCAGACGTGGTTCAAACACTGGGAGTGCTGCTGACCCCTAAGGAAAGGGAATGGGACTGAAACATGAACAAAGAACTGCAGACAGGAAGTAACCTGAAGAGTCTTAGATCCCATGAAATGCTTTCAACACAATTTCACATGCCTGTCTCCTACCAAGATCCTACTAAGATGTTACCACTTACATACTTCAGTGCTAAGCCAAGATCATGGCAGGTACATTACTCATCAAAAACTTTCATTTTTAAAATATTTAATAGCTTTTGTTGCTACATAGGTTACTCTATACAACCACCAATGTGGGTCTCGTTGTCACCAGCAGTGTTTAAAAAACAATTTTAGAAAAATTTAAGATCATCAAATGAACCTGGCAAGTGTTCAAGTCTGAGTGCATAAAAGAGACCTGTTTCCTTTAAAATCATATTTAGGTAATTGCTATGAAGAATGACTGCTGACACCTACAAAAGCTGCATAATGAAAATAAGTACTTTCAGTCATTTACAACAAAAGAAACATACATTTCACTTGAACAGATAACAGTACTTTATGGATTATTTGGTAGTCACTGTACAGTCCTGAGCATGTTTTTGCAGGCCTATTTTAGGTCATCATCCTTCCCTCTCAAGTCCAAGACTAGTGCCAGTTGGAAGAAAGCTGTGAATACTTCTGAGAAGCATACCTTAAATTCACTTTGGTAATTACCAGTGTAACTCTATAAATCTTTCACTTCCTTTTCACACCCCAAATAGATTAAGGCAGGTTCTACTGCTATCAGGATTCTTCCATCACCTTTTGACACTGATATAGCAAACCATCTGGAAGGGCAGAACAAGGTGATCTGAACCACAAAGCCAGCATCCCTGAGTGAGTACGACAGTGCAGCAGACATGGCACAGATGGAAGCAGCTGGCATGCCAGTATTCCCTCATTACCTTAAAATAACAGAAGCCACAGGAAAAAAAGAAGCAAAGTAACAATTAGATACAGCTATAGTATCATTCACAAACCTCTTTTTTTCCACAAACATTTATATCCTTTCCACATCTCTTCAGTATCCTTACAAGTTTGCCCCCTTATAAAATGTACTGCTTGTTTCACAATTATACAGCAACCTTTGCACAGAGCTGAGTAAGGCCAATAAAATCCTTATATGTCCCTGTGTTTACCATGCTCCCAAATGTTCAGATTTAAAGTGTAAGGTACCTGTTTCCATGTATTTATTTCTCTAGAAAAATAATTAACTTAGTAAGCAATCTTACAGCATACCTTCACTCACCTATAATATCAACAATGTGGAGTTTCAGCTTCTGATGCAGTACACTCAGAGCAGCTGAGAAGGAAACCTGAGAAGATGGCATTTTAATATTCTGTTTCACATCATTGGAAAGAGACAACCACAGCTTCCCAAAGTCTTCTGTAGTCATTTCCATTGGCCTAAAGTTCACCACAGAGCACAGTAAGAAAAGATATATTATTTAGAATAAATCTGGTCTCCTAAAAAAGATTCTATATACAAAACTTACTGAATAGAGTAAGCATCAAACAAGTGCAGAGTAGTTTAAGTAAACCCCTGCACTTCACAACTTATCATTAAAAAGTTTCTGTATGTTGCTTTGGGCTTGCAAATTAAAATACAGATTCTATTTATGCAAAATATCTCCCTAGTTTTGTTTTTTTTTTTAAGCATGAAATTAACGAATTACTATTAAAAGTAATTCCAATTACATTAAAAACAGTCAACTCAAGATGAAGCCTTGCACTTTCACAATCAAGACAATCCTGCAGTCTAGTATTCAATTGAATATACACACCTTTAAAACTGCAGTTTTGCTTACCTGATGAAATCCAGCAACGATAAAGATACTGAAAATTCAAGGTGAGTTTCCATTTCTGATTGGTAATTAACGAAGCCAGAAATAACTCCCTGTGTACAGACTTTGTCCATGCACACACACTTCTGACAACATCCTATGCTCTGAGCTTCAATCACAGAAAACTGGCAGGCAGGGCTCTCCAAAATCTGCATCATTTTTTAAAAGAAAGTATCTTAGTATCACTGATTAGACTTGCATTCACTTTCAAACTAAAGGAAGAAAGTGAATTGAGAAGTGAAAATTCATACATATTTCTTAAAGAAGCAAGCAACAGGAAATCAAATCAAGATGAATAAGAAAAATGAGATGTTACATTTACATATCAACTGACATTTTTAATACAGAGATTTGTCATTAACTTTTACGAGAAGCCCAATAGTCGTATCACAAGCTTGAAGGAAATGCTTAGAGAAAAAAGAATGCCTACTATATTGAACTAAGTATGACAAACTTAAATGCAAATGAAAAAAACTTCCAAGTAAACATGAAATATAATGGAAAGTTTCTTACCTGAAAATGTTCTTCTTTTTCAAACACTACATTCACAGCCTTAAGTGCAGAAGTGTTTTTATTTGAAACAAACACAACGAGCAGCAAAGAGTCATCTTTCCACACCTTACATAAATACAGGGCTAAGGCATCACTCTGACAAAGTTCTGCTACTTCAGAGTGAGGGAGTTCTTCCAGTTCTTCTGCTAAGGAAGGGAGCAGCACTGTTTTATTGGCATTTTCACATTGAGAACTTGGAGAAGGCTGAAGAATTTCAATATTACTATCAGCAAACAAAGACAATGGGGACAGTCTACTATCTGGAAGTTTGTCATCCAGCCCATGCCTTTTTACAGACTGAAGTGTTTCTTCCACAGTATCTGAAGAACAAAGGGAAGGTTTTCTTAATGCTGTGTGTTTATCTCCATCACAGTCTTCTGTAGTAACAGGTACAGTATCAAGTAAGGGACCAAAATCTGATGGAGCCCTATTTTGCATATCCAGTGCCTCCTCATTACTTTGGGCTTCGTCTATCTTTGATTTTCTTTTGAACTTCTGAGTAGATAAATCCACTTTCCCCATCTGAAAAGTAAGAAGGAAAATTGAATATGGAAGGAGCTTCTACCAATACTACTCTGTAAATGTTAACACCAAAACAGAAGGATAAAGGACAAGTAACAACCAACAAAAATAATCAAAGAACAGCTCTCAAGGAAGTGTAACAAACTGGTAACAAAACCTGAGGCACAGTAGATAAGAAGGAAGTTCTACTGAACGGATCTACTCTGGATATTAATCAAGCAATTTCAAATCTGTTTCATGCTTAACAAATGATCAAATTACAATGGTAACTTCCAATAATTTTCCAGTGTCTTGGTGTCATCTGTCTAGTTCTACCAAAAAATGTACATTTGATCTCCATTTCCATATAAGTATTTCTAATTGTAAATAAGGTTATATACAAACTTCTAACTGGCAAGTCACAGAAGAACCACTTACCAGACTGACACCACTGCTTGATCCCAGCCCAACAAACAATGTTGATGCTAGCTGCTGCTTTTCTTTTTCTTCCTCAGAGAGGCTGGAAACTTGATCAGGCTGTGACACGGGACGTTCAGCCACCCCTTCTGCTAACAAGCTGCTACAAGACACAGTCTGTGGCTCATCTTCTTTCCCTACTTTGCTTTCTTTTTTTGGAAGATAACCTTCTTTGCCCCAGAGCTTCCTTACTCCCTCCAGTTTCAGAGTATTTGTCCTAGAAGAGGGGAAAAAACCAAACAGGATAAGCTATGTGAACATCGTTGTTCATAAAAGCATGACACTCTGCTTTAAACACCATTTGCCACTTCAGCACTTTAATTTCCATAGTGAATAATGGAGTACAAGGGAATGCTTTCCAATCTGTGGAAGTTCTGTGTTAATGTTATTCACCACCTTACAACACCCTGCAAACATATTCAAACTACACTGCAAACTCCGCATAGATACCTACAGCCAGCAGTAGAAACCATGTTTGCCAACTCTATCCAGAGCTTCAGGTTATGTTTATAACATATCTGAATAGCAATTTAAAAGTGAACACAAGCAACATGGAGTCTTTCTTTCCAGGAATCCCTAAGCATGTGTAAATGATTCTACTCCAGATTCTTTAAAAATAATAAAAATTAAGGTGAAAAAAATCAAAAGAGACCCAGAAAGTATTGCCATTTTATATAAGAAGTATTCATGTTACTATAATTTTTTTATGGAACTACAAATATGGAATTTATTTGTAGTGTTCTAAAACTTACAGAGCATCTTACACCACTTATCTTACCCTTCCATCTAAAAAGGTTTCCATAAAAGGCATGTTTCTGTTAAAAGGCAAGTAAACACCGTTTATAAAAAAAACTGAAAGTCAGAAAAAAATACTTCATCCATAAATCCTGTCACAATTTTACTACATTAACTCTGATTTGATCTATTGTTCATAAAGAATGAGTAACAGTTTAACCCAAAGAAATATTTCTGGCATCAAGCATGTCAGAGCTCAAGCAGCATTTGGACAATGCTCTCAGAAGTTCAGTTTGATTTTTGGGTGGTCCTGTACAGAGCCATGAGTAGGGCATGATGACCTTTGTGGGTTCCTTCCAACTCAAGATATTCTATGCTTCTAGTTATTTCAATGAAGATACTATCCTAAACTTCTTGTGTGATGGAAGTTTCCAAGTTTAACTGTATTCTTTATACTTCCACATAATGAAGCAAAAGCATGTGAAAAGCAGTAAGAACACAAGTTTAAACATACTTCATTTTAAAAACAAATTAACTCACTCTTTATGCCCCATCTCAGCACTGTTACCAGACGTATCAGAACCAAATGATAAGCCAGTGGGGGACTGTCTACCAGCCATACCAGATGAGCACACACTTGAAGCAAAGGATAATCCATAAGGTTCAAAATTCAGAGCTGCAATACAGACAATCTTTTAGAATTACAGTAAAGGCTCAAACAAGTAGGAAGGAACTGAAAAATCAATGTGCTGTACTACAAACACTTCTCATGCTATCCTATTCAGGATCCTATCCTCATTAAAAACAAATTTGTCCACTTAAGTAAGTTTCATTTAGACATGAGAGATAAACAACATAAATGACTTTATAGAATATCACTAAAATATCTGTCAATTCTTATTATCTGCAGAGCAAAATATTGTATCAGATCTATGCTGTTCTGTTTGCTCATGCACCTACATAACACATTCCGAGTTCACAGCAACGTGTCCATATACCACCATCTGCTTTACAAACATTCTTGACACTTTGAGCTATAAATTTATTTTCAACAAGACAGGCAAATCAGGATTCAGGCCACCCACCTTATCTACGCTTTCTGAAACAAAATGTAGTTTAGTAACTACTAAAAATTGTTTTGGACAGTACTTTAACATAAAACAGTCATTGTTAGACAAGAAGCAGAGCCTCCACTACAGCCCTGAAACTATACAGGGTATAGCTCCTTTTTCTCACTTCTACTCAGTCTTATGCTTTCTTCTTCCCAGAAGGACAGAAGTGCTGGAGATGAGAGAAGAAAGAGGTCTCCTGATGCAGGAGGAGACGCAGCTAATAAAATGTTGCTTTTTTTTTTTTTATATGGATGTTGTTTTTCAAAGATCTTGTGTCATACTCAGATTCAAACACCACATAAAAATTAGTTACCTAAAAAAAAGTCAAATTAATAAATTTCACTAGACTGTGAAATGGATGTTCTGTAGTCACCTTTTTCCTGAGAAAGTTTTTCCTCTTGTCTCTGGTGATGGGGCTTATATGGTGCTGCACCCTGGCCAAGTCCCTCAGCCACAAACTCATCCAGAAAAGATAAGGAAGCATCTACCTACAAAGAATTAAGGAAAATGAGAAAGTAATGAATACATTTTCTATACAAAAGCCTGATAATATCAGAATATTTTGCCTTATCAGCAAGATTAGGATTTTTTGGCTCACATGCCATATCTACCAGTAAAACTGCTGTATTCCTCACATCCATTAAAATGGTTTTACATACAGAAATTGTTATTCAAATATATTGGAACATACTTTGAGCTAGAGATTTGTAACTTAAATCAACTCCTCCAATGTTAACTTTTTTTATATAAACAAAAAAATGGAGAGTGGATATTTCCTAAAGCAGTGGATTCCACAATTATACGAAAATACTAAAAGGAAAAAAACCTCAAGAATACCATCCATAGTTTTGTTAAAGCTACTACAGCTTACTAAGTACCATGACACTTTATCATAAACATAGGGATGTGTCAAATCTGAAAATGCATTTCTCAAAACTCACTTTAAGCACTCTAAAGACTGGCACCAGTCAGAACTATCAAATCTAATTCATTCTGAAAACATCTTTTAGCAAAATATTTAACTTCTCAGAACAACAGGAAGGCTCAAGAACACACACTGCAGACTTCTTACCACCATGTCATTACAACTAGCATCAAATGGAAGCAAGCCCTTCATCAATACTTTGTCTTCACACAGATGCTTCAATTCAAAGGTATGTTGTCTCATGCAGGTATCTAGAGAGCTACTGAATTCTTGGATTAACTTGTCAACTGTTTTAGAAAAAGAGGCACGCGATGCTATCTTGGTGACTGCAGCCATAATCCATGCTTTAGTTTCAGAGGTAACAAAAGTCTTCTTCAGTAAGTTGTGCAGCCTTGTCAAAATAATTTCCGGATCAACATCTGTAGCAAGGCTGGAATATTCCCCCAAAACCTATGCACAAGCAACAGAGAAAACAGTCACACACAGCAGTGCTTTCAGTTTTTAAATTAGCATATAGTATCAAATAGTAACAAAATTAAATGCATTCTGCAAACCATCACTGATGCTGAAATAACTGTTGTGGTTAACCTGGAAGGCAGCTGAGCACCACACATCGTTTGCTCACTCCCCGTCTTCCCAGTGGGATGGGGGAGAGAATTGGAAAACAAAGTAGAACTTGCGGGTTGAGATGAAATTATTTGCTAAGATAGAGGAAAAGATTATTATGACAACTCATATATAGATACACAAAAAAAGCACGTGTTGTAATTGCTCGCCACCCTTCAATCAGTGCTCAGCTAGCCCATCAAGCAGAGGAAGAGAACAAGAGATGGACTCCCACCCCCTTCAGAATTATTTCTGCATGATGTCATATTGCATGGAATACCACTTTGCCCAGTTTAATTCAGCTGTCCCAGTTCTGTTCCCTCTCAGCTCCCTGAGTCATTTGCTAAGAATGGCTTTGACTCTGTACAACACTGCTTAGCAGCATCTACAAACATCAGTTATCAACATTGTTTTCCTCCTAGAACCAAAACATAGCATCATACCAGAACACCAAAGAAAAGAATTCCATCCAGCTGAAACTAAGATAAATCTTAAAAGGACCTTCTACGCAAATAAAATGAAGAGACTCTAGATAAAGTAACATCTCTCTACTGGATTTGAGCTCCAACTTTCATTTTTTCAGTTTAAAGCTGTTAACACTGACCAACTAATAACAATAGTCAGCACCATTGTGCTGGTTCCAATTGCTCCAAAACTGATTTAACTGATGCTGTATGAAGGTTACGACTGCTTGTAGTAATGTCAGAAAAATAATCTGAACATCCAACTGCATATTGAGAAGGCACTCCCAGCATTACTGCTGGAAGACTGCTCTATCAAAACTACACAATTAAGCTACCTGCAAAGTGCTTCAACAAGACTTATTATTATGTTTTCAGCCTGGCAAATGCTTGAAACGATCTTCATGTTTGTCTCTGTAGATTCCAACTTAGCTTTAGAAAAATCAAAGAGCTGTTTGAAAAGAAAGCTACACATAGTAATTAGGACCATACAAAAACACAATTTGCTTAAACCACAGCCTCTTCCTTGGATGGTAGTTGAAGCTCAACTCGGTGCTAAAAAAGCACAGCACAACCAGCACAGTAGTTGGGCAGTAAGAGAGAAAGGCTAAAATTGCATTTAATGAGCACAACTGGTCTAACTGATAAAGATGGAAAAGCTTTCAGCACACAGGCAGATTGATGCTGCTGCTAAACTCGTAACTGTGTATTCAATTTTGACTGTGCATCTACCTTACCCAACTCATGACTTGAAGGAACTTCTGTGGATAGAACACACTTTCCTCTTCAAGTAATGCTAAGTAAGACTGCACTGCATATGTTCGCAGCTGTTTTTCTTCTTTGCCATCATCAAATCCTGGAAAGGAAAAAAGCATACTTCACTTGTAACACAAATGCCATTTACTACATCAAAGCACATTTTCAGAAAACCAGATGATTAAAATAACGTGTTTAATTCTTCAAATCATGTGGTGATTTACCTTCAGCCAAAAGCCTCAGAAAGTTGTTAGGAATATCAGGATACAAAACATCACCTCCAACTGAAAACACTGCATTCATGGTTTGGATGAACCACTCGTTGTTAGGAGCATACGTGTCCACATGTTAAGGAATGAAGTGCTAAGGCCTAACTTCGCTTCTTTTGAGTTTGCTAATCACTACATCTTAAACTGTGAATGAACAAACAAATGGCAGTGTGAAAAAGAATGCTTTAATGAGGCTTCACACAATAGAAAGAAACCCATTCACAAGAATTTACATCTGGAAACCTGTTCTACAGTACTTGAAGCTCACACTTGCTCCATGCTAACTATCTGACATATTCTTTTGAGTCGGTTCATCCAGCCTCACTTAATAAATGATAGATCAGCTCTTTCCAGCAGTTCCACAGCTGTTTTACTGAAGAATAACAAATGTTGTTAAGTACTCAAGAGAAAGCAATGTTGTTTTCTTATATTTAAAATTTGAACAGCCTTTGCTAACTCTGGAGTTAAAAACACATTCGTTTCTGCCTTTCCTCAAATAAATCACAATGTACTTTACTGAATGGACACTTTCAACAGTACAGAAAAAAAATACACAGTTTTTTTTTAAAGAGCGAAAAGCACAACTGTAACACTTTGTATTTCAAAAGATCATGAAAGATGCTTTGAAATGTACCAAAAGATTTCTGAAAAATAAAAGGATATTTCTCAGCTAGTTCTGCTATTTTGCCAGCTAAGGTGATGATAGCATATTCTTCCTTGGTTTCTTTTAAGTAGTCAAGCATCTTCTGAACAATGACAATCACATTATGTCCGTTTGTAATTCTATAAAGAATTTCTAAAGTCTGAAAGAGAAAGCAAGATACATTTAATCAGCTCTAATGACTCAAAACAGTAATCAGGCAAATAGAAACACTGCAGTATGATACCAGAGTGAAAGCAACTACCTTGACTTAATGAGACTTAACTGAAACATTCTGCTTACCTACAAAGTCTGTCACTATTGTTCATAGCTGTGCTCTCTCAGTACCTAAGACATTAAATAACTTTCACACTCTCCATTTTAGAAAACTTAATACCTGCTCTAAAAATAACTTAATTTGCATTGTTTAAAAATTCACTGACCTCCCTTTTAATAATGGGATCAGGATGGTCCAGACATTCAATTATTGTCATCTGGTGCTCAAGTGCCAGATTAGGATCCTGCTGAATAACACAGGTCAGAGCCTTTAAACCTACAATATAAGCAATTGGAGATTACCTAAGAGCATACAGCAGTGCAACAAAATTAAAAAGTCTTTAAAGAAATCCAGTATCCTTACCTAAGTATTTCAAATTAATTTGGGGTGACAAAACAAATTTTCCAATGCACTTGGCAGCCTTTTCAAGTAATTCAGATTTGGGGTAAATTGTATAAATTGTTTGGACACATTCAAACAAGATAGCTAGGAAAAAAGAAACATAAGTGGGTATTACATAATTATATTATGCAAAATAAAACAAGCACACAAGTATACAAGTTAGTATGATAAAACTAGACAAAAAAGACTGAACTAGAAAAAAAGACTGAACACTGTTCACTTAATATTTTAAAGCAGTCTTACACCTTGCTACTGAAACGCCTACTTCTAAAGAGCTGAGTATCTATATTTTGGCTTTCAAGCAGATATTTTGTATACAAAAACATTCATTTTTGCAAACAAATGATATTCTCAATGTGTTCAGTTCAATTGAAATTTGGAAATATACAGCTACCACTGTGATACAGCTTTAATTACACAGCCCAGCAGAACTACTCCTTGTGTTACCATTCATTATCATAAAATGTAAAAGAACAAATTATCATTATTCTGGTCTGAGTGGTTTAAAACACAGTACAGATAAATACTGCCCCAAAAGTGCAGTACAGCATGGAAAAAGACAATTTGTCACAGCTCAATATAAAAAGGAATGAAGTGAGAACAAGATAAAATAGAAAACTACATGGAGACCAATTCTTTCAAAAGTTGACTTCATTTTTGGTTGCTGTTGTTCTTGTCTAACAGAAGCAATTAATCTAAATAAACTGAACATCTGGCAGAGACTTCCTCAGGTATTACTGGAAGTTAGTACCACTCTCTAACTTCCCTTTTCAGTGGAAAAAGAACTTGCACAATATTTTAGAAAACAGAAGTAGGCATTACACCAGATCTAGAGCTCTGGACCACGTTCCTTTTCAAGTCATTTTTAAAACAAGCCTAAATTCCCCCTCTGTTCCATTAGCGCAGGTTATTTAGCAACATCCATGTGACTTTACTTCAAAAGATAAAATAACAGGATGGTTATGTTTGGGTTTTTAGGTCCTTAATATATTGTGAAACAGCTGTCAGTTAGGACACTAGGATATCAGATGTGGATGCTTGGGGAGACACTGCTGTACAGAAATATCACTTGTTTCACCATTTACTAGTCAGACACCTAAGAACACAACTAGATTTTCAGAAATGCTGCATATATAATTCAGCATGCATAAAACACTCACTCAGCCTTCCCAAATACTGATAAAGACTCTCACCTACCATAGGTAATATTATGATTTATCTCCGCTCTTCTGAGAGACTCCTCCAAAACATCATACATCAGCTCACTTGTCCTGTTTAACAAGAAATATTTACAATTCTTATTTACAGCATGTAGTCTTAATTTCCAAGCAACTCACATACCAATATTAAAAAAAACCTAAACACAAATTATTTATATCCACAGATTCAATTTAACGTTAGAGTTCTATAGTCCATCTCTAAATGACATCTAAATGTTCACGGCTTTCAGAAGAAACAACCACCATAAGAATAAAAGCATCTAAGCAGGAAAAACACCCCACCAACTAGGTACTCTTATGTGGCTTTTCCCTGTTGTTTGGTAACCCAGTAAAAGAAACTCCAGCAAAAACATATATCAAGCATATTCCATAACAATTAATTGCCTAGCCAATTCAGAAGCTGAGAACCTAATTTTTCAATTTAGAAGGTATCTGCTCAGTGTATTGGTTAATAATAAAAATGTACAAGTCCAACTCTAAAATCCTCTTATAAAAAAGGCAGAAGAGCTGTTCATGAGATAATGGTCACAGCTGTGTTCTTTGTACTTTCAGAATACTAATTACAGAGAAAGAGCTGATTACCTTGGATCATCTTTTCCTAACAGCCCCAGTATTCTTAAAAGCTGAATTTGTAACCATGGTGCTGGCACGCTGTGATAATTGAAGTCAATAGGGAGCTTCCCTCCCACTACCTGCTTTAGGATGATTACAAAACTCTCTGTCAAGTCTTTATACCCAGACGAGTTTTCCTGCGTAACAAAGAAACACAATAGAAATACTTTAAATACAGCACTTCAAAAGCACAATCTACAGACTGAATACAGTCAAAGTAGCCACCACTTCATTTCTTTAAATCCAACTTCTACACTCTTCCCACAGCACCTCTTCTCTTTAAACCTATGCTAGTTTCTTGTACATTTGCAAAAAGAGTGAATGTAACTTCAAAGCAATGGGGAAAAAAACCTGAATTCTTTAATGTTCTGTAGAAGATAAACTTTGCTGCCACCTAAGGATGCCAATGATACTGAAATACTTGGATATGCAAGAAGTGTTTGTCAAGCTAAAGAGAGAGCTAGTGCAAATGTAACACATCCATCATCACTAAGTTATGAAAAGTAACTTTTCTACCAATTAGGAGTAATATTTTGCTATAAA